CCAGGAGGGACGGGTCCTTGGAGAGGGACATCATGCTTGGGAGGGTGGAGGGATGGCACAGGAGGGGAAGACCCTCTATGAGATGGATCGATTCAGTGACTGGGGTAATCGGGATGGGTGTGTCAGAGGCAGTGCGGTTGGTGAAGGATAAAGCAGGGTTTAGGGCTGTTGTGCATAGGGTCGCTATGAGTCGGAAACGACTCGACGGCACATAACAACAAACAACAATAGTAAGACTGGAACTCTGGTGGCCTAGTGGCAAGAAGCTGTGCTACACTCCCAAAGGCACTTGATTCAAATCCACTAGCTGCTCCCTGGGAGGGTGGGCATTCTTCTCCTCTGCGATTAACTGCCTCTGAAAACCCACTGGGAAGTCAGCTATGGGGTGATTCCGACTTGAGGGTACAAACCAACAGTGATAGGAAGCTGCGCTGCAATTCCAAAGGCACATGGTTTGAATATACTAGCTCCTCTGCAGGAGAAGGGTGGCAAGTCTCCTCTTGTGCTATTTATTTACTGCTTCTGAAAACCCGCTGGAGTTTACTGCTGCTGAGAACTGCTGGGAATTGGTTCTGACTCAGGGACACACAACGACAACAAAAACTCTCGTGTACATGGATTTGCCATGAGTGATAAACACCTTCTCTGGTACAGGGGATAAGCCTAAGGTCAAGTGCTTTATCTGAAAATCCTTTTCTTCTACTCTCCAATTTCTTTTTAGAATGAATTACTTCATCTCCTACCCTTTATATTCTTGCTTATATATTTAATTTACGTAGTCAAGGAACATTGCCTGGGCACCATCCTTGTGAAACTAGTGATTCAGAGATGAGTAAGAAAACCCTGCCTCTTTGTCCCCAGAAAAAGGACTATTTTCTATTTTTCTGTATCACTTTTCCTCAACTACTCAAAATCCTGATGCCATATACTTGTTAGCATATAGGAGATTGATTGTACATTTATTGTTTTAGAGTATTTTGGCTGGATATATTTGCCAACAACTTCTCTCTGGTTTATGAGACAT